TCTTCACGGTGCCCCTGATTAAACCGTGGCTAATGCCATTTCAATAGAGGGTCAGGGCGGTGCAGCAAGTCTGATCAATCTTGGCAGATGAAGATTGACTCGGGAGATCGACTCATGTATATGTATACGTGCAAATTATATCGTTACCTCGCATTTATACCGAGGCGAGAGAGGCCTGTCACTTAAATTTACAGCGCGGGCGGCAATGCAGGCTGCCTCCGCACGCGATATAATCGACGTATTTGCAAGAGCCTAACGGTGACTCCTTCCTCCCTGAGAGGGAGAATTGTTTTCGTCCCAGCCCCGCTCGCCCAGCTGGGTAACGGCGGCGCGCCCATTGCACCCACGTTGCCGGTGTCGCGACAACGTCGCCGGCAAACGAACAATTAAGTCCCTGAGATTCTGCTGTTGCCACTCAGTCAGGGAATTCCCTCCCGCGTCCACGGCGACGATTCGGTATCCGGGCGGCCGGCGCTGTGCCGCTGCTCTCGCCCCGGTGCTGACGCATACCGGGGGGCAATCCGTGCCGGGTGCCACCCTGACCCCCCCCCCCCCCCACTCAGCGACGTGGGGAGGGAGCAGCAACGCCTCGCGCTCGGTGCGCTCACCGCTGGGCCCGTTTGCAGCAGCAGCTGCTCGCAATAAAGAGCCAAAAGTCAAAAAGGGGTTTCCTACTCAACTCGAGCACTCTGGCAGTAGTCATATCCTGCTCGGAGCCCTGAGCCAGAGGTGGAAATTCCCCATTCCTATGGCGGAGGGCAAGTCTTTCAAGAGGATAAACATTGTTGAATTCCCCTAGAAAGCGGTACTCATTTTTATCGACCCTAAGGGGATGATTGGCTGAGTCGACCCCGTACTAAAATTTGAACTCGCAACCTTCCGATTGCGAGCCGCTCGCTGTACCACTGAGACACCCGGATGGAGCCCCGGTGAGAAGATGGGCAAAGTCAGCCCGTGGCAGGGACTTGAACTCTTTCTGGCTTCGAGTCAGAGACACACTTTGAGTCTTAGGCTCTAAAACTCGAGATGACTTCTCTAAGTGGTAAGAAGAGCTTCTGTGCAAAGACTTGTATTCGTGCCAGGAGCTGCTCTCTACAATCAGGGAATGCATCCATAGCTGGGAAGTTCTCTGCACCTGAATTGAGTCTCTTCACCGAGTGTATACACATCGTCAGCCATGCGAGATGAATGGCTCCCCTAGCCGTCGCCATCTCTCACGATCCTAGCATGTTAACAATCCACCCAGCACCTGCGCACGAGCTGATTTCATTGCTCCGTCTCTCCGCAGGACATTCCGCCCGACGCGTGCCATCCCTCGGCTGTCAATCTGTCACTATCATTGATCGTCGGCCATCGTCCGTACACGCGGCGTGCCCTGACCACGCCCGTTTGATTTTCTTAACGCTTTCAACGGTTGCCAATTTCATAATCATGATGCAACTTGTAACGTGCACGATATTTCGTGGACGCAAGTTCACTGCGTGCCAGTGTAGGTTCTCTCATGAGCGGCTTCTTCTTATCTGTCCCTCAGCGCAATGCCAATGCATCTCTCCACACTTCTGTTACACTTTTCAGTTTTTGTTCAATGTTTTTGTTACGTTTTTTCTTGTTGTTGACGACAACGTCTCTGCGCCTTACGTTATATCATGCCACTATACAAAGACTCTCTGGATAGAGAGAGTGTGTATTTGTATCTTGGGGTGGTTGATGGACCTAGAGAAACCTCATTGTGATGAGAACGTCTGGAGAGGACCCTCTGAAGCTGAATATGGCCACGTGTACACAGATGGCGGACCCTGAACGCAGAGAGAAGTCTCTGTGTACCTGCAGACGGCCTCTGTGGGCCCGTGCGTGAAGACCATTTGTGCGTACACAGTGACCTTTCCGATCAGCCCCTGCGCACGGAGAGCCTATGTTATAACCTCGTAATGTCACAGGGCCTCGTTGTACAAGCGACATCATTGACGGCCCATTGATGTATGGATGGACCCCAGCTTTAAATATTACACGATGCCTTTTGCACCAGACGGCATATTCAAATGCACTTTTCTTTTACGATGAAGTTTGCATCGTGATCGAACCTGTCCCATGCTCGTATTGGGCTTCTCGCTAATATCAACAATGCAAAGAGGAACAGATTTCAACATCTCGTAGGGGCGTTTCTTCCCTCGTGGACGCTGTGAGATTTCCGCTCGGTAGCCATCAAAACCCGGCGCGTCGTCCGGTAGCGGTGGGACGCTGAGCACGCTCAGTGGCATCGAGAAAAATCTAACTATCGCGCGCGTCCACAGCGATGCATAACCACCGGTGGTGCGAAGAGAAGCGTCTCGCGTTGTCTCCGCTGCCGCCGGGCTGCAAACCACAACAGCCGCGCAGTGCCGTGCTGCTTGAGGGTGGCTGCACCCGGAGGAGGCCGACTTCAAAGGCGACCGCTTCGTTGCCGTCGTCTCTCGAGTGGGCGAACACGGCCGGCGTGTGGGGGGGGGGGATATTCACCGAAAACGTAAAAGTCGATCAATCCGAGGCTGGGTGGTTAGGCAGCCCCTCACCCCCCCCCCCCCCCCCACACGTGCGTGCCTGTTCACCCAGCCCGTAACCAAATTTTGCGCATTTAATCTCACGGCGTTTTGTTTACGACGCTAAGGTGGTGGGGTGGGTGGGGAAACAAAATTAGGGCGCCAAAATAAAATTTCCCCCCCCCCACACACACACACGGGAAATGCGTCGCGTCAGATGGAGAAAAAAATCGCCCGGAAAATAACGCTACGTGACGCGCGGATTTTTTGGACGCGGGGGGGGGGGTAAGAGAGAGGGGATGTGCAGCGTTTAGAGGTGGCCTTCCTACTAAGTGCTTTGGCCAAGGTTCTGATGTATAGCTGGACGTGCCTGTGTGTGCAGATAGGCTCCAGCCCGTCCTAACACAGCCGTCTCGGCTGAAAGGAAGGTCGCGACCCCTTTTCTCTCTTTATCGTTTAAGCCTGTCCGCATTGTGCCGCGTGGCCGTGATGTCAGTTCGCTTTTTAAAAAACGGAAAGTGCCCCCCCCCCCGCCCTCCCACACGCGCACACCCTCCTCTCTTCTCTGCCCCACCTCACCCTGCCCCTTCTCCTCCTTACTGCTGCCCTCACTTTTCCATAAGACTGAGAGAAGACGCCGTGTCTGAACGTGCATCGGCGAGATCCTGCAAGCATTCATCAACGCCGCCCTCCCGTTTCTGCCGCGCTGGGCTGCGGTGCCATTAGTCGGGACGCGTGGTGGACTTTGTGGGCGTGCGCGTAACTCGGGGGCGGGTTATCAACGTGCAGTTGTGGAATTATCAGCGTGCGGTTGTCTGCAATAATTGGGGCAGTGCCGCGCGATTGCGGAAGCTTCACGCCGAGAATCGGGGGGGCGTATTGGTGCTCTCACAGCTGCGCGATGCGCGACTCAAACCGCAGTGGCTGAGCCAAATCAATTGCTCGGCACAAGTGCATGCTGGGAGCTGTCTTGTGTGCAACAGCGGAATCTCTCAGAAAGCCTCCCTGGAGTGCCAGGCCCTCTTGACTTTGAAGTTGGACCCCCTGTTATTTCCGAGATATGTGCACGCGCGCGAAAAACACGGGGCGCTGCGCGCGCGTCAAATACACACACACACGGGAACACGCGCTGACCAAATGGGTCTCCCCGTGGCCCCAAACATTTGCCATGACCCAGAGCACCTGCTCAACGGGGGAACTTATCTCAGAGCCTCTGGGCACAAGGCACGGAGATGTTGACCTTTGCGCGCGGCGCGAGCTTTTTGCTCAGCAAAAAAAGCCTTGAGAGGTCACGGAAAAAAGGTACCCCGACAGGGCCACTCAACCCCAGATACCGCTGACCTTCATCCATCAGTGAAGAAGAAGAGCGTGACACGGCGGCCCTAGTTCGCCAATGAAGCGCAGCGTTACTGAGCGATGACCGGGGCGCTCGGCCAATCGGCGGCGAGGTCACAAAACAAACGGCCCGGTGCGGTCCTCAAGGACCTCGACGGGGCTCGGTGGCAGGAGGGCGGCCGTCACGTGACCCCCTCCCCCGAAGCCCACGCCTCCTCCCCTTTGTCACCGCGGGTCACATGGGCAGGGGTTAAAGGTGAGAGATTGCCTGGTCAGCGATGGGGGTCACGCGGCTGGGGAGTTGACGGTCCCTAGTTGCCAAGCAGAGAAACAAAACCCTTATGGTGCCTTCTGTTGTTAAAGCAAAGGGGAGCCAACAGACTGGCATCTCATTTAACGTGGGGGGGGGGGTGGGTTTCCTCGTATAATTTTTAGTTTTTCAGAGAAAAAGCACTTCTCCCCGAATGTTGGCATGCATTAATAACCCCTCAAACATGTTTCTCTGAAGACCGTAAACCAATTTCTCTGAAATCATTACAATATTAAGCAGTGTAATGCATAATGCAGCTCTGCGGTGGGTGTTGTAGTACTGTGAGGATTAATATTCTGGTTGGCAGCGGGGGAGGGTTCGTGTAATTTAATATAAATATATAAATGAAATTAATGGCTTGACTCCCACTGAAATGCCCTCTCGCTCCGTAAGTGTAAAGTATTCCGTGGAAATCTTGTCCAGCAGTCGTGACAAGGCCTACCGTAGGTAGACTGAAAATGACTTATAAATCCATTACAGCTCACCACCATTGTAATTAACACTACCCCATAGCAGACAAAATATTTCGCAGGCTAACGTTTACTAAAAATACCTCTTATGCATTAGAGATATCGCGAATATGGGCATGCGAATAACAACAACAACAATACTAATTCACAATGGAATTCAAGAAAAATCCGGAGAGAAAAAAGGGGAGGAGGCAGAGAGACAGAAGGAGAGAGAGAGAGACGGAGAGAAGAGAAGTATCAGTGGACAGCGAAGGACACGGCAGGGCTGGGAGGGTTTGGGTCGGAGTGAAAGGTGGGGGGGGAGTCGTTTGCCCCTTGAGCTGACAGGTCACGGCGTGGTGGCCAGGCAAACCCGGCCCCATCACTCACGTTTACGGCCCATCTGCCCGCCCGTCAGCAGAGTGGTCAGCAGCTGTCAGCACCGGGCAAATTTATGTCCCCGGCCCAGCTGAAGAATGGCCGCTTCCTTGTCCTCCTCTTGCACTCGGGATTTTTTTTTTATGACAGCGCCGCAGAATTGGTGCATCCCCATAGCCGCGCGACTCCACACGCTGGCGCACGACTCCGCGCGCGTGCGCCCGCGCCAGCGCGTGCACGCGCAGGCGGACGTGCGCGTGCACGCACATACGTGCTCGCACTCTGGGGGGGGGAGAGGCGGGGTAATAGCGATCGATGCGGGGCAGCGGTTTGTAATGGCCGGCCAGGCGCAGCAGCCGCGCTCGGTCCTTGCAGGGGTTGGGACCTCTGCCGCGCTGCGCGGAACGAGAGGCACCGAGCCGGAGCGGCACGAGTCGCCTCGGCCCTCTTCTCGTCAGCGTCTCGTTACTACCCACGTGGCGCCAGCCGCAGCGCTGGCGCTCGCCGGTGCTCCCGTGACACCGGTGACACCGCTGCTCCCGTGACACCGGCGTTCGGGTCTCTTTTATTGGGGAGGGGCGCTCTCTTATTATGGTGATCACCGTAGTAATAGTGACATGTAAGCGATTCAGTGCACTGATGATGAACAAAACCCAAAACAACCTTTTCAATGAATTTCAGCGTTTTCGTCGCTGACATCACTCGCTCGTCGTCTCTATGTTGGCGAAGAGCTCACTGCACATCGGGGGCGAAGGGGTGCGCCTGCTTTCGTTCACCTATTCCTGCACAGAGTTAGTTTACTTATCTTCCATAATTCATAATCAATGTGGTTTCCAGCTCTAAGCTCACACGCGTGCGTGCGTGGTCAGTGAAGGCACCGGCGTTTGTCGGAATTTTTGCTCGGAGCCGAACAAGACTGCACTTTGGTGGCGGCGTTGGCGGAGGGAGGGAGCCGCCCCTGTACGCGACACTGGAGCAAGGATTAAGCGATGATCACTTCAGGGCAAACACATTGGCTGGAGTTGTTGTATATATTTAACCCGCCCTTCCGTCAATCAATAGGAGGTGGTTTGGAGCTCATTAAGGCCGGGAAAGGGGAGGGAAGTGACAAAATGAAAACAAGTGAAATGAGCAACTCATTGAGGACAAATTTTGGGAAGCAGCAGCAACATCTCTCGGTTTCGGGGGCCAAAGTCCCAAATCCCCTGGCTGGTTTCCCTCTCGCGGCGGTCGGTGTTCGTGTCCGCTCCGACGAGAGCCATGAAGACCCCCCCCCCCCCCCCATTCTCCCCAGCAATCATTTCGCCTAAGGTTGTGCGGAATTAATTTTTTATCGCCTGACCTTATGACAACGTTGGGAAATGTATATCTCATTTCGAGTGAAGACACAGCTCGTCAAATAATGCATGACGAGGTGAAATATTTAGGTTGCATGGCATCATGGGAGGAATCCACACTTCACTGCAAGCCCCACCAGAGTGCAATAAACACGCAGCAGCAGCATGATTTATGTGCTACATATGAAAAGCTAATGTAGTCTTGTTAAATTATTTTATATTTATTATATACGTGACATCCCTACAAAAGTGCAAAGCTCCGCTGGAGCATCGACTCATGCAAAGCAGCCCGAATTTTGAGCTACATAGCGCGCGCGCGTGTGCATGTGCGTGTGCGTTACAAGGATGTGGGGAGAGCTCGTGCGGACGTTAGCACGCTGAGCTATAAACCAGGAAAACCAGGGTTCGATTCCTGCTCATGGCCAACAACACCAGTGATGATTATGTGAACCGGTCCTGGGCCTCTCGCAGGTCAACTCAGCCTCAAACGAGTACATTGTGCGATGTGTAAGTATCACCACTGGGGAGACAAAGGTGGCCGGGCGTGGTGTTGGCCACCCACCCCCTCATGTGCTGTGCCGGCCTGCATATGCGCTCGCTAACAGCACTTGTCCCCACGTCTGTTAAGGCTACACGGGGGATCTTTGTTTTTCATATATGGATGGCTCGCCTCAACCGCGGCAACTACACTGGACCACGTGGGGTGGCGACGGCACGGGGAGGCCCTCATCCAGCAGTGGATAGACAATGGCTGCTGATGATGACTATATATACCCGCCTCTCATTTCCTGATGGCATAGAAGCACTTAATAGAGTAGAGGGCAGTCAGTTGGGCACATGGGGCAAAACCCCTGAAACCAAATGGCCTTGGTACCCGTCATGGCAACGTGGGTTTTCTCTGCTCTGGTAATTCTGGAACCAAAAAAAAGCGCTAAATTGGATGCACTCTTTCAAATAAAATCACGCAAAACATAAAAAAACCCGCCATTCACGGTGACAACATTGGGCCACGTGCCTCTCCTGCGAGGGAGAGCTGAGACACGTGCTGAGGTTTGAACTAAAGACCCCTTTGCTTAATTGGACGACACTCATCCCGCCGAGCGGTCCTCACGACTCACTCGCTTGCATTGCACCGTCGTCGCATCACGTGTTGTGATGGCAGCGTGTGCTTTACACGAAAATGCAAAGGTCCACCCGCATAGCCTCAGCAGGACTGTTGGGGCAAGTGCTGTTAGCGAGTAGCACCTTTGAAGTCCGGCACAGCACACGAGGGGGTGGGTGGCTTGCACCACGCCTGGCCGCCTTTGCCTCCTAAATAGTGATGTTTACACATCTAACCAGGTACTCATTTGAGGCTGAATTCAAATATTCGTCACTGTTGTTGGCTGTGAGCGGGAATCAAACTCAGGTTGCCGGGTTCGTAGCACAGAGCGCTCCCCGCGACACTGCCGCTCCCCGCACACACACTCCCACACAACAGTGTGCTTGACGTGTGAATGCAAGTGTGCTCATGGCACCAAGTATTCCTACATAATTGCCCGTTTGAACCTCACGCTGACATAGTTCGAGTGTTTGCACATCTCACCCGGAGGCATCAAACTAACTTTCGTGCTCCCTGTTAGAATGTACGGCTGCAGTTTTTGTTTAATGAAGCTATCATTTTATCCGACATGTTCTCGTAAAGCCCTGGTCCTGATAAATGCCCAGCGGCTTGAGATGTTGCCTAATTTGCACCACGTCTCCCCCCCCCCCCCCCTCTTCGGGCTTCATTCTCCTTCACGGTCGCGGATGCCAACGCCACCACGAGCTCCTGCCCGCCGTGACGCTGTCGCTTGCTGTGCGCGCGTGCGTGCGTGTGCACGTCACGGCGGGCCCGAGTTTAACTCCCAGCCACGGTGGCTAACGTCGGTCGTGAGTGATCGGAACCCGTCCTTAGCCCCCCCCCCCCCCCACTCTCGGATGAAAATGAGCCCCAAAGGTTAACCTCAACGCATTTGTCAAGAATTGAGAAACCTGCTGCAGTGCGTACGATTCAGGGCTGCGGGCCTCGCTACACCACCCCTTCGTAAGTTCCTGTAACTTTCCGCTGGTGATTGTTGTTCCAGTAAAACGTCATTTGTCAATATTTGCTCATATCTGTTAGAGTAGAACCTTTCCCAAAAATACTTTTATGAAAAAAAATATATAAGTAAAGCAATATATATCAATTATAATAGTCAATTTAAAAAATCTGATCTCTATAAATCCGGTGCGAGATCAAGGGCTCCCCATGCTGTGTTGATGATGGGGATTGTTTTACTGTACTTCACCACGCTGGGCATTGTGGGTCGGTGGTGAAGGAGAGAGTACCCCATGACCTGCACAGATATCAACTCACCAGTCCAGTGTGCAGTGTTTTATCACTGGGCCATCGCTCACTCCGCTGGGAAGGCATGCCAAGGTGGGTCGCGGGGGAGTGGAGGTGCAGAAGCCTCGTTCGGAGAGCACGGCTCCGGTGTGAGTCAACTGCGATCTACCATTGTCAATATCAAATATAGACCTTGAAGGCCTGCCTATCAAAACAAGGTTTGTTATTGGCATTGCTTCAGGGAACAAACTTTCCTTCTTTTCACTTGCGCCCCGCCATTTATTTGATTCACTAAAAGAGCAACCAATCAATCAATCAACGGCTCACTCCGTTCTGTTATTTCGACCGGCGGTAGGGTGGGGAGAAGGAAAACGCCGCTCCGTCTCCGCCGGACGTTTCTGTTAAAATTAATAAAACTGTGGCCACGGACACAAGTCGTGAAACTTCAGCCGTGCTTTACCCGAACAGCAGCTGTGATTGGGGCAATTACTCAAAGGCCACATGGAGTCCGAGGCTTAGGCTCTCTGAGCCAATTCCATACCGTTGCACTGACCATGCCAATCACAATCACGCCACTGGCTGCGGGCTTGCCCCGGGCACTATTGTTGGTTTATCCCCCCCTGTGCCCTGGGCTCGGTTACTACAATCCCAGCTGTTGTTCTCGCGTAGCCCAGGTGGACGGTCTTGATTATAGCCCCGTGCTTTAAAACCAAATTAGGCCACTCCAAACTCTCATGGGGCATGAGTTTCGGAATAGGGCAAATCCAATCGCTACGGAATCCACACTCGTATGCAAATGATTCCACTAGTTTTAATCCAAATGTGGCAAATTCTTGATTTAATTTTGGGTTTTGATTTGCAATTTTGGTTTGCATCCTACCCGGATGGTGCTGTTGCCCAGTGCTCGAGTGACCATCTGGAGGATGTGAGCTCGAATCCCATTCGGTGGCATTCACTTTGCTCAACCAACCAGGGTGAATAAAATAAGTACCGTTTTGTGAGAGTCGTATTATGGTGAAACTGGCTCCACACACCATGGCAATGTGGAATTCGCACAAATGGGTCAGGACGGCCGATAGAGAAGGGCCATCCCATTAGTCGTTTTTGGTAGGAAACGTTTCGACTGGACAGATGTCAAAATCAGAAAATGCATTTTTACTGGAGGAATCCGATGAGCTATAAAGCTCTTCTTCACAGATGTCCAGTGATCGAGGTGAGCACGCGACAGTGGATGTGGTACTTTGCGAGCTACCGCCAGTATCATCCAAGCACCGAAATCCATCAGCGGATTCCATTTTGTCATCAGTTGAAACACTAAAAGTGGCATTATCATTATTTCCCTATACAGTTGATACGATGTGTAAATGTAAAGTAACACAATAATCCCAGCCCTTTATCAGCCCACTGATGAATCGAGGGCTCCCCGTACCGTTTC